GGTTACCGAAACGCATATGACACCGGCCGCAGGAAAGAAGCGAAAATGGAAATCACAAGCATAAAAATGTTTGTTCAAAGTGTCAATTAAACCCACTTTCGCAAGAATTCTCTTGAGAAGTTGTGGTAGTTTTTTTCTGAAAAGTACGAAATTGAGAATTCCATTTAACACACTGCTTCACAGCATATAGAAAATCATGCTAAAAAGTCGCAAATATGTCTTTGGCTCTTTCGACCATTTCCAACCTTTGCTACAATGAATGAAAACCAAATTTTTGGCAAGTTAAGTTAATCTGTGATAGTCAAGTAACATTTACCTACAAAATGGTACTCTAACTTAAGGAATTTTGGTGCAAATTTTCTTGCCAAGTCTCCTTTCCAAGAAATTAACTTATATGACGAGCATTTGAAAGTATCTTGAAATGTCTTTCAATGGGCGAGATAATAGTTCTTGTTAGTTTAAATCAAAGCTTGTCTATCGATTTCTTATGTAAAATACGAAGGGATTCTACATGTTAATTTTGTATGGACATTTTTTCAAGGTGTTGCATCTTTTATTACGTTATATTATGGCAGCAGGAAGTTTAATTCAAGATGCTAAATCTTGGATTGATGTATAATTCAGCGTAAAAATTGTGATTTAGACAGGATGCAATAGTGTCGTTTTGATCTTCTTAGCAAGAGTGATGTTCAAAGTTTGAGCTTGTCCAACTCCGACTTTTGATTTCGATCGCTGAGATTTCAATGATGCTGTTCGGGAGCTAGGGCCCATGCCTGCCAAAAGTACTTGGAACACCCAGCAATTTACGCTGCATTTGATATCTTTCATTCCTTTCATGAAAATTTGCTACTTCCGCCCCCTTTCCTCTAAAACAATGTTGATGAATTAGAAAAATATCAAAAAAGAAGCGCAAAAGAAAGTGCTTCCTAAAATCCTAACCCGTTTGATAGTAAACCAACATTTTTTCTGTAGGAGAGAGGGGGATGATTGATTTTGACCTTGGAAATTGATGGCAGTGTTCCAAGACTTTTAACAGGCATTCATCCACCTACCGGCCAAGGTAGATTTCAGGAATCTAGTGGAAGCAAAAATTGGGACTGACACTGACACATGACTTATGCGTGTACCTTTTCATCAATCGTGATTTTATAGTATTTTCAACTATGGTTTGAAATTCAAATCTTCTAAAGAAGAATATCGTGCAATTCTCCAGTTGCAATCTGTTTTAGTACAGGTTTCAGTTGAGGCAATAATGACATCATGAATAACTTACCAGTTGCATCTTCAGACTATTAATACTTTTGTGTTAAAGTATAAATAGCACATTTTAACCTGGAGTTATAAAGCGGTGAAAATCGCAGACAGACTTTTGAATACACATTGAATGAAGTCTTTAAACGTTTATGCAGTTTGCATTAGACGCTATTTGGGATATAGATTAGGACGGTTCTAAGCAACTTAGCAGCTTCACCCAATGACGTGTACACAGTACCGCCGAGAGGGGGGGGGGGTAGCCGGGGCAACAGCGTTAATTTTTTGCTGAAAATATTCACAAAAGTAAAAAAGCTTATTATTATTCTTAAAACTCGTGAAAAAATACTGTAAAATTGCAGTGAAGTTAGAACCACGTTCAGGCCAGTCTCCTGTTGACACTCAATGTACATGAACCAATGGGCTAATCAGACTGAAGATAAACCTGCATGTTCTTATTCACGGGTATCTTCTGTATGCATTGCAGAAGCAGGCAAGAAGGCCTTTTACTTTCAAAGAGCAAAGGTATTTAATAAACTAACAAACGAAATGTAGTGTGAACCTTCTATTCTAAGATTTAAGACTTTTTGTAAAAATTTTAACTTCGACTTTTAAGATTTCATTTTCATCATGTATATAATTTTTATATGGGTAATCCTTGTATATTTCAGACAGGTCCTTAATTGATAACAGCACGTTGTTGCTGACCAAAGTTAACCTGTATAAATATGATATTATTATTATTATTATTATTATTTTTATTACTTTATATTCTGCTGTAAAAACAAAACTTGGACTACTGTAATCCAGAGCTACTCCCCTTTTAACATTTTTTTTCTTTTCTCATTACTACGATTGCAATAGTTTTATTTTGTAAAACAGGCTAGCCAGTTACAAATTACCTTGTAATAGTGAGATTTGTAATTGTAGTTTTAACTGGAATTCAAAATGAAGAGTTTCCATTATTATTAGTTTGATAACTATATAGGCCCCCAACCGAAAAGGGCCCACTATTTGTTTGTATATCCATATTCTTAAGACTGCGGTCAAGTTCACCTTAAAAGTTCTTTGACTAAAGCATATGATTCAGCTCCTATGGTTAGCGAGAAAAATTATCATTCTCGCGATTTGCTATGTTATCGACGACTTGATGGGGCTTTCTTGTACTCGCTGTATAGGGGCCTCGTTTCAATCTAATTTCTTGGGGCCAAGGGTGCCTTTATTACGCCACTGCCCATCGGCCTAGTGGCTATTTTTGAGCTATTTTGTAACGAAAGGAATCTGAAGAGGATGTACGTCAGGGCAGTAGCCCTTTGGCTTTACTCCTTAATCGCGTGGTTTTCTCACTTCCATTGATGTTTTATTGTTTTTGTCTCTGCCATTATTTGCATGACTTGCGTTCGTCAAAGCTTTCGTATTATTTATCAAGCAAATGTGTAATATCCTGTTCTTGATGCAGTCAGCCCTTGTCATCAACCAAATTTTCTAGAAAAAAAGTTTCGGTTTTCAGTTGGCGTACCTTATAGCCATTACTATGCTACAAATGGTTGCACGAGGTAAACTGGTATAGACACGAGGCGTGATGCTGTACAAACAACGTGTGCCATCCTAGCGTCCTTGTGCAAAACATCAAAATATATGGGGGAGTTGAGCTCGGTTCGTTGAAGAAGTGATAATGTCTATAGCTTTGAACCGCCCCCGTCCTCCCGGTATGGCGCATGCGTATTGAACTCAATCCCAATTGCGCATTGTTTGTGATTGCAAAGACGGGGGCTGGGTGCATCCCAAATGAGTACACTCAATTGTTTGCCCTCCACCGAGTAAGTTGAGACATGCCTACGTAAGCGCACAACACGCTGACCTGTTGACAGAAAAGTAATCAGTCTCAATTTCGTTTTTGCCGAAACGCTTAGCACCTGTTTCTAATGCAACTTAACGGTTTTACCGATACAGTTTTGCCGATGCCTTGTGCTTTCCGACAGTTACCGAGGTGCTGCATACACGGGATAAATGTTCTAAAAATAATGCACGGCATTGCAATCACGCAATGCCAGGTTTAGCGCATAGCGGCAACGACCAATGCTCTAAAACTTAACCACTTCTCCGCAATAATTCAAGGAATTGCACTACTAACTTGCAAAGCATGTATTTGCGCAAGGACCGAGATACCGGATGGACAGGGGGCCAGTAGCATAAGTAAAATGCTTTTGTTTTGTGAAATATACCTGTTTTTCACTTATTTATCAGGGCTGCCCCCTCCCCCCAAACAAAATGTTTTATCTTGTTCTTTGTATTTGCGTATGCACCAAGGACGTGTCCAGGCACTGAGTTCAGTGAAGGCAGTTGCGATGAACCATGGGAGGCAATAAAACGGAGGAGCGAAGCTTTCCGAAATCGTTCGGTTGACACGTCCTAAAAACCTCTATATCAGAGAAAAATATTCGTAGATATTTTCTAGCATCATTTTGTTGACCTTAAACGAGTGATGCAGAATCGTTTTACAAAGTGGCAGTCGTTTACAAAGTTCGTGGTAAATGGCCGTTCTTTGAAGCTCGTGGAAATTCAAGGCCCCTAACAGAGATTAAACGTTGAAACCTTGTTGTGGAGACAAGCGAGCGAAAATCTTCAAATGAGTGGAGCAATCCGTCGTCCTGGAGCCAAAGAGCATGCGTAATAACGATTTGGTTTGGCTCCATGCCCTTTGACACCATGCGCAGCATCTCCGCAACGAAGCCTTTCAGAACGCTCTGGGGTTTTTACGATTTGGTTTTGGGGACCCATTAATTAATATTTTGATCGCCCGTGCCTCGGTGATACCAACCTCCATGTTATTTCCAGAGCATTCATCAGTATGCTATTGAACATCCCGGAAATATTAACCATTAGCGAGAAGTTTCCATTAGATAATGATCAGTTGCATTTCCTTAGCGGTTTATACTGCGTGTGGCCAGGATTTCTCACATGTTGCTATCGATTACCCTAGTTCTACAAGGCTGATATAAACTCATCGATCAGCGAAGAAGATACGTATGCAGACAGAACTTTCAAACATTTTTCGTTCTGCTTGCCATATCAAGTGATATAATCTGCTGTCAGATTTGTCAGCAAGATATTCTCGTTATATTTAAGGTGTAGTAATCTGTAGTCAAATAAAGCCTAGCTTTTTGAGTAAACAATGCTTTAAGATTTGACCGCTTCATTTTTTCCTTCCTCTAAAGTTTTCTCGAAACTCTTTGAACCTCTTAATTTAGGATTTTAAAGATATTTTTTATTTTAATTTTTGATAGCAAGCTTCATCTAGTAAATTTGCTTTTGGTCGAGATTTCCTTTCATCCTATCAATTTTACGGATCAAGTGATTTTCTAAATAACCAAATACTTCATTTAGATTTGGTTTCGATACATAATGACTGTTACGATGAAATATTCTGACGTCATGCTACAACACAAATTTTGGTCACGATTTTCAATATCTTTCATCGTTCCATGCTATAACGTGTGGGCATCGTTTCACGATATAACATCATTCCACGATATAACACCGTTCCACGATATAAAATCGTTCCGCGATAAAACATCGTTCCACGTTAACTTGCAACTTAGGCCAAAGAGTTAATTTATTTGGAAATTTATATTCTAAGTAATAAAATAATTATTAACAAAAACTAAAAATTCACCTTGTTTAGCATGTTGGTCTAATTTGTAAATTCATTATTAAGTTTCAAGACTGAGAAAAATGTCATTTTGCAGGCCTTCCTTTAAAGGGGAACCATGTTTTGGAGAGCGAAGACGTTTTCGGATGTGTAATACAAAGGTATGATGATTTATTTCTTGCAAAAAGTCTTAAAACCATTACCTACTTGAGGGAAGTTCAAGCTTCAATATAGCACGACATAGATTTAATAAACTTTCGAAAAGTTGGGATTTATGTAGACAAAAAATGACGGGGGTTCGTGGTATGAGTATTTATGGTCTCAGATGTTTTTCAAAGGCAATTTTGGTCCCTTTTTATTTAAATAGTAGGCATCTTTCTGTCTCGTAAGACAATGGTAGAAAAATTGCAATTCAATTTCAAAAATTTAAGGTATATGTTTGCCATTTTTTTATAGTACTTTTGCTTTTAAATGGTTTTGAAAAAAGCAAACATTTTATAACATACTGGGTAAAAGCTTTTTCGTCTGACACTCCTCAGAGCATCGAAATAGGCCAATTAGAAAAACGCAAGTACAAGATTGGACTATCTCGATCCACAACTGGGTATATATTTTTCATCGTGTTGTTTCGGATCCTTATTCTGACGTTTTATGCTCTGAGAAGTTTCAGACGAAAAAGCTTTTAGCTAATATTTTTTAAAATGTTTGCTTTTTTCAAAGCCATTTTCAAGTACCGCCAAAAAAACTATTCACTTTTGCTTTTACTTAAAGGCCTGCCCAACAAACTCGTTAGACTTTCGTGACGTACAATGTGCAGCATTTAATCACAAGAATTATCGTGGAAGAGTGCATTCTTGGAAATCGTATCATCTTAGAGGTATTGGCCATTTTTGTTTATAAAGTGGTGAATTTATGTTTTCCTCTTTCTGAACTATACTTACTAATGGGATTGCCTTGTGTGTCATGTCTTAAGTGTCGATTTTCAATTGTAAACAACTTTTGTAATTAATCAATGAAATACAGATTATCTTACTTTTAGCACCCAAATTGAGGGCACTTCTAAGAAAAAAGAAGTAAGAAGAGTGGAATCCCTAAAGAATCCATCTTTGTTTTCTTTTTATTTAGATCCTGGCACTTAAAGTTAACCTATGATTAGTAAACCACAAGGCCCCTTCTAGTTAGCCGCAATCTAGAAATCTGATACTATTCAGAGTAGTTCGAATCAATGCATGTTATTTCCATACCGTTTTTGTTTCAGGCAGTGAATGTTCCTTAGTATGCAAAGCCGAGAGGCTTAGATATTATGTGACGATGAGTCCAAGTGTAGTCGATGGTACAATATGCAGACCTGGATCTTTTGATCGATGTATTGAAGGAACATGCAAGGTAAGTGCCAGGGACCGCCAGGGAAAAAGCTACGTCTTCTTTGTATGATTTTTAGTATCGTGAGCAATTTGTCCCGTTGCCAAATGTCAAACAAGAAAGCTGCCTAAACAATCCTAAACAATAACGTATCATAGAGACCAATCATATGTTTGTATCTTTAACGATGTTTGATAGAGAAAAGTCTTGATTCATGACACATGGCAATCTTTTAAAGAGCTAACATTGGAGTCATTTTCAATCGCAGTTTAGTACTAGACTAGACTATCGACAATATTTTCAATCTAGTCGTTCATGTTAGGAACATAGAATTGTGGCAACAGTGATACCTATTGAAAAAGTTAATCTCGTCCGTATTATTTTATGTTGCATACAATAGTTAACAGTAGCTGTTGCGTATTAAGTCGGTTTTTTGCTTAGCAATATTTTTAGTCAGATAATATTATTCTTCTTGATACTGGTACGTTGAGTCGTTGATACGGTAGTAGAATCTATCTACAATATAAATCTATTTGCCATGTCTTTAACTTTGTTCTCATTTTCCCATCACTGTATTTCCTCGTTTCCCTTTCTGCATAGAGAGTTGGATGTGATAGCATTATTGGTTCCAATACAGTAGAGGATGTTTGTGGAGTTTGTGGAGGAAACAGCACTACATGTCACCAAGTTCGTAAAGATTTCAAGAAAAAACATGGAATCGGTAAGTGCTAAACCACTCCTAAGCCAAGAGTAAAAATGGTCTTTATTTCCTCCAGTGTTGGTTTTAATTCTCACTAAGTCGCGATATTAGCTTTAAAATAATTCACAATGCGTGAATTTGATTTTGTTTGGACAACCACGGCATTACTTATGGCCACCGTAATTTGTCCAAAATCCATGGATTATTCAGCTTAATATGAAACCTCACTTTATGATTTTTTCCATTATTTGGGTAACCATATTGGCAAAATTTGTAATTTTGCTCTAGATGATTAACCTCTATGAAGTGCTAACAAATCCTACATTTTCAAGGCTACTATTGATAGGTCAACGGTAACAAAATTCTATGTAACATGAGCCAGAGTAATTTTATTTTATAGCACTTTATTTGTAGGATGAATTACGTTCTTTATCAACCTACGCCTTTTCTCAAATACAGTTAACGAAACCCGGGGCTTACAAGAAACCATTACTCGATGTTTTCAAACTATTTTTGAAAGGTTAATCTCAAATAATGGAAGTTTCGTTTAATCCCTTATGTTCAGTTCAATTTTAGTTGTGTGTCAAAGTGTGGTCTTTCGTGCTGTTAACTGCTCAAAATGAGAAATATAAAACTGTTATGGTGACACAAATTAGACACGAAGCGTTAGTTGCTGGGGCTTACTATTGTGCGACGTCAAGGGTCCATTTCGGGTACATTGCTTTTGGAAGTCGGGATGTCAAGATTAATGTTTAAATGTAGGATGATAAATGAGTTACCGTGGTTGGTAAACCTAAGAAGAAACCATATATGGTGATATTGTGAAGCAAGGATGGCACTTAGTTGTAGAATTGCCATTCTGTACAACTCAAATTGGTCTCTACATAACAACTAACAATGGAGGAAGTTCATAATTACAATTATTTTTCCAACACTGTTTAGCCAGTAAACGTAGCAAGCTAACCACTTAAATGGCCACATAGACATAAATGTACCAAATGGCATATATTCTAAGAGAAAGTGTACACCAATTGCTGCTATTTGTTATTTATTGCTTCTTGATTTGCTTCTCTAAAAGCACTTGCAGCTTTGAGATAAACTCCTGTTTCTTTCCTAGGTTATCATACAGCTGAGTATATTCCGCATGGATCAACTAGCATAAATATCGTTGAAAAGATTTCTTCAAGAAATGTCCTGGGTTTGTTTCTTTTCAATTTTTTTACAATGTTTTCAGTGCAGCAGAAGATTTTGCAGTTACTACAAACACATGAAACACTGATACAGTTATGTTTTTTGAAGCTATAATATAGGATAAAGAGAATATATTTAAGACATGCAGCAATTGTTTATTGTTGCTTCGACAGTTATGGCTCTGGGTGTAGCATTGAATGAAATGTGACACAGATAGCATGCAAACTTTCCAGTAATGATTATGTCACAAAGATAGCATGCAAACTTTCCAGTAATGATTATGTCACAAAGAGGAGGTGCCTGAATGGGCCTAGAATTGAATCAAAATGACAATCAGAATCAAGCTTGCGATGCTCTTCTGAAAGCATATGAAGATAAAATCAGCCTAACGTAATGTAATGCTGGTATGATTCTTGTCTAGTAGTACCTCACAATTGCTTAGATATTCAGAAAATTGATGCTTATTTGGGCTAGATTAACTATGAGACAGCACTCTTTTTCCATCTCTCTATCCAGCTAGTCAATAGGCTACATATAACGCAGATTAATGAAAATTCGTGGTTTGCCGGTCGATCATAAAGTGCTTGATGCGGTATAAGCAGAGCTGTTCAAGCCCTAGTGTATAATGCAGGATGGTTCTTAGTTGTTAGCATAACTCTTGTATTTTGAGCTTTTATTATTATTAGTTTAACTCTTGGATTCTGAATCAACACAAACAAGCTCAGATTGCAAAAATAATGTACATCAGCACACATCCAAAGTGTGGTCTTATAAGTAGAGGCCAGGGGAGGCGCCAGGCCCTAAATTGTGGGGTGGACATTGAAGGGGTGGAGCTGATAAAGGGGTCTGGGTGAGAACCGGTGCAACACCGTACGAGAAATCGCGCTCTTTATTGATAACCAAGTTTGACATATTTTGAATCCCTTAATAGAAGAGTTGAATTTCATTGGCAAAGGTTTACACACATAAAAGCTAACAACATAAAATTTAATTTCAGAATGGAATTTTTTAGCTAGTAATGGTTTTAAACTAATTAACGGGGCTTCCTTTGTCTATTTGATCTGCCATATCTCGATAGATGTTAATTTGAACAAGTTTCTCCAACCTTTCGTCTGACCTTTGGTTTTTCCAACCTTGAAAAAGTTTGGGTACAAGTTTTAAAGTTATTTATTGCCAAAAATCTTTAACAAGGAAGAAAGATAAAGACAACACGCTAAGAACCAGCTGTTTAGCACGATAAAACTGTGTTTTATAGATCATCTTCATTTTAGATTCTCACTATTTACGAAACTGATGATCCAACACACCATATTCTATGTCAGCTAAGATCTGAAAAGAACAGTATCTGACCATCAAAATGAAAGAAAGTTCCGATCTCAGAGGAGAAAACTAACACCCCCTTAGAAAGTTGATCTTAAAAGAAGTAGGGTGGACATGTCCACCCCAGTCCATCCCGTGGCGCCGTCCCTGGTAGAGGCCGATTATCATTAATTTTCAAAACACTGTTTCAACATCGTGTCTTCTGAGCACAGCTTAAACATAACTTTGCTAAACAATGTTTCAACACAACATTTTTAAAAAATGCTGAAATGTCTGTTCTGAAATGAAGCTCACATCTTTCGCCATGGTTCTCACATTGAAGTTTATGTTGATATTGTTTATTGCAGCTATCGAAACAACATTGGGCGAAAACATTTTAAATTCTGGCTATCAAATGGAGCGCCCTGGGGCCTACCATAGACTTAACAGTATTATCAATTACGAGAGGACTGGAATGCTAGAGCGTATACAGATCAAAGGACCCATATCTAAGGATATAAAAGTTATGGTAAGTTGTTAAATAATATTCTTATTATGCACAAAACTATTCATCAGTTCTTTGATGTTGAAATTGTGTTATGCTTCGTCATGCTGTAAAAATCCTTCCTCAAAACTGCTATTAAACCATCAAACCGATGATGCTTAGAGATATATATATTAAAGCAAGTTCCCTTGATTAAGTTTATGTTTCACATCATATAAGAAGCTAGAAATAGGCAAACTATGAAATAGAGCGAAGATACAGATAAATTATTCTTATGAAAATCGGATATTTTATCAGCAAACAGGGCTGTAAGTAGTCTGCGAGCAGAATCTTCTTCAGAATACTGGGTCTGCGCGCAGGCTAGGCTGTAAGTGGCTGTTTTACTGCGACAAATGAAGTAAAGCGTTATTCACAAGATGGTTAGATTTATATGCAAAGACAAATTGAATACCGAATGCGGCTATAGATCTGATGATACGATGATAGAAATACACATACCTAATCACTATTATAATAATATTAAGATACCATCAGAGCTATCTCATATTTATTGCTTTTTGTATTTTTGGAATTGAGGACTGTAGGCGAAATTTAAGCCTGAACTTGAAGCTTTAAGGGAATATCTAATACGAGTTTTGTGAAAAAGTTCTTGTGCTTTGCCTTTAATCTAATACACAGAGCGTTATGAATACGACTTGTATACCCAAACTGAATAACGACAACCAGCATACATGACTTTGTTAGTATAACTTATATTTGTTATTGTTGTCTCTCTCTCTCTAGGTTCTCTTCCTAGCAGACTCGTCATCGGTATCAATTCAATATGCCGAACAACATACTGCAAACAGAGCTGTTTTTACTTCACGTGACCGGCACATTTGGAAGCATGACAAGGCGGCTAAGAATGCCTGGTCTAAATGTTCTGCTACTTGTGGTAAAGGTATGTCTTGCAGAGTTTTATGGCTGGAAAATAAAGTCAAACAGCCAAACGTTGTCAAACGCAGTAAAACGAGGTCAAACGCAGTAAAACGAGGTCAAACGCCTTCAAACACAGCCACCAAAGCCCTCTGATACAAAATAATAAACATATAAGTCATTATTGCAAATGTAGAAAAAATAAAGGGAATTATCAATCTCACAAGCAAGGATCATTCTAATATGCAGGCATTGACGCAGATTTACATTTCAGTTTATTAAGACTTAGTAGGGGCAGAACGTATTCAAGGGAATTCCATTAAGTATTTGAACTATTTTTTCCTGCACCCTCACACGGACCATTTTGCACTGCCTATCCTACAATTATAATCCAAAACCAAAATTGTCCCTTGATCATGGTCATTTGCTCACATAAATGAACTTCTTTGTAAAACAAATGAACGAATAGATCAAATCCATCAGTAAAAAAAAAAAAACGCTAGTATACAATACAGCAAAAAGAAGTGCAATGTTTAGAAAAAAAACTTAAAGGCTCTTGTGCAACCGGCATGCTTAGCGGCAGCTTTCTTGAGAGTTTGATTGTGTTTTGTATTTTCATGCAGTTCGATATTGTATTTTCATGCAGAACAATATTTGGCCGGTTTTGAAAATATAGTTGCAAAGCATGCTGGTTGTGCAAGTGACTTTAAAAACAAAAGATTTAGATAGTATCAGCGATTAATAGACAAAGTCTCTTAAGTAGAAAATTAAGAGAGGAATCTCAATGTGTTATTGAGGTGTGTATCTTTCTAGTTATCATTGATACATCCTTGAACACAACTAAAATTTCCGATGAAAAAGAACGGCAAACAGTTGCATCTCCTGAGGAGATATCAAACCAATTTGCTAAGAAAACATCAACCTATCATCAAGAAAATACTGCATACCTTTTTATTATTTATTTCTATGTCTATGAATAATTACCTAATATTCCTAAATGAACGTAAGGAATGAGTGCTTTGAAACTCAAGAAGTTTGCTTCATTATTCAAATATGACGGTGTCTAACTTGCTTCCTATTCAGACAGGGCTTTAGATAAGCAGTTTAATACTGTCCAGTACCATTCTCTTTACTTTCACTTTTAAGAATGATACGAAAAATTTTTTCTGAACAGATAGACAATACTTGAAATCCTTACCCGCCAATTTTCTATGTGCAGGCGTTTTTGCTTAAATAACACAGCTACAATCCCGGACAAAAATGTTGAGACAAAATGCAATTTTTGTAATTTTCTACTTTACCTTGCCCCTGTAAATTCGAATCCCCCACCCTTTCCTTCCGAAGCAATGTTGGATTTGTAGTTCTATCATTCCTCCTTCAAAATCATGCATTCAACATTGAATTGGAGGAGTGGGGAAAGTTATTTTTTAAAGGAAAGTGAAAATATAAGCTTTTCTTGAAAAGTCATAACTATTTTTGTCCGGGATTGTCGCTCATCAAAAAATTTTCATCTACAGTTATAAAAATCAAGTTCATAGATGCATTGTTTGAGCTTCAAAAGAAATGATTCACCAATAATATTAATGGTGCCAAGAGGTTCTAAGGACATTTTACATCTTCAGGTTGACTGGAAGATATGGCAAATAGGAAAACCTTGATTTTAATAAGTTAGCACTCAATTTGAAGTCGGTAGTAAACATTTTGCAAAATAATGAACCTGAGGTGTTTAAATTTTTTTAATGTTAACGAGTAAAAATTTAATAATAATTCAAGTTGAGTTTCAAGTAGGTATTATGGCGAGCTAATATTACTCCTTTTTTTTAAGGAACACTAACCAAAAATTGAATGTATATTCTTTTGCAACGGCAGGTGTACACAGTGGACAGTTTGAATGTTTTGACATAATTACCAATAGCTTCGTAAACAAGAAGAAATGCGACAAATCGGAGAAGCCGTTCCTCGTCAAACCTTGTGAGAATCTTACTCCATGTGAAAAACTGTGAGTCGACTTGAAATAGTATCTTACAATACTCACTGGCAAAAGCTTTCAATTCACTTACTTTAGTCAAGTAGCTTGCCGTTCATTCAAACTTCAAAGGCTTTGCATCTTTCCATATTCCTTTAAGATTAAGGCATAAAAGTAAAGTGAACTTGAGTGTGTATTTCATATACAATATAGTGTTGTTCAGTTTAGGTGCATTACAAGTAGGGCAATGAATAAATTAAACTTAAATTTAACGTAGCATTGAGTCTTGGTGAAACATAACGAAACCTATAGACCTTGCATGCTGCAGCAGGACTCTTTGTAGTAGAGTGTTGCTCTTGATACTATTATATATTGCAATAGGTTGCCAAAAGGGAGTTGGACGCATGGTGCATGGGGTTCATGCTCAGTTTCTTGTGGAGAGGGTGTAAAAAGAAGAACGGTTGCTTGCACAAAGGTTGGCACTAATATAATCATCAGCGAAAAATTCTGCGGAAAAAAGAAACCAAGATCTGAGAAGAAGTGCAATCATGCCAGATGCCCTAAAGAAGCAAGTTTTTGGTTATTTGGAGAATGGAGCAATGTATGTCACTGTTTATAACTTTTTTTTAAAACATACCATTGAAAATGACTTCGAAAAAGCAAATATTTTTTGACCTTCTAAAGCTTAACGCATGACACTCCACAGGGTATAAAACATCTTAATCCGGATCGATATTGTGAAACTAGAAAGTATATGCCCAGTTGTGGATCGAAATAGGCCAATCTTCTGGCTTGGCGAACACTTGACAGGTATATCTACCCAATCAGTGTAGCATTTCTATAGACAACTTTACTTATTGGAGCCAAAGGGTGAAGACGAACTTCTTCTGTCTACAAAGTAGTAGGTTTTCTTATGCTTGTTTGGATTCCAGTCTTTTCATTCTTTAGTTTTGGAATTTGCGACCAGCCTTTCAGAAACATCATGATGATAGCAAAATCATCTGACTTAATCGTATCGATAAAATCAGCATTTAAATTTCCTAAACAGAGTAGCAAGACATAAGAAGGACAAAGAAAATACACAGTTATCAATTTTGCTATACTATATCATTTTATGTATTGGACATTGATATGGAATTTATGTAGCAAAGAAAGTCAGGATAACATAGGGAAATAAATAAAAGAGCATTACTACTAGCGTATTCTGATTATTCAAACTCCTTTGTGGATCTATTAACCAACATGAAATAATCTACTGTCTATTTTCAATCAATAAGAATCCTGAAATATGAACCCCTGGCCAAACGAATAAAACCTCCGTGAAACATCGTCACACATATTTTACCAACATTGTCGTATGACCTGGCCAAATGAATCAAACAAATGTTAAACATCTGTGATATTCAAGCGCTGCCGCACAGCTTTCTACAGTGACTGCGTTGTATTTGCCGAATTAATCCACTGCGCTTGCGTGCGTAAAACAAATGTTCTAATGGGTGGCCAAACGAGCTTTGCAAAACATCATAAAAAGAGGGATGTATCAATGTTAGATGATGTTTTATGTTGATGTTTTATTCGTTTGGCCAGGGCTTAAATTATGATATCAGATCACGGAATTTTTCAAGAGCCGAAAATCTGTAACTTACTTCAAGATGATATCAAAACAGCCAAAAAAGTCAATGGTATTCAAAAACCTGATTAAAACATAGTTAATGAAAACAAATGCACAATTCTTTTTTCCGTTAATGTCTTGTGAAACCCATTAAATTGTTTCACGTTTGAATTTATGTACATCCACTATTGTTGTACCTAACGGTAACTATATTATGCATTACAATGCTACACTTTGTTGCAGTGTAATTTACTGTTTAATTTTTTTAATTTTCTCAGTGTTCTGTTAAATGTGGAGAAGGAATTCGACGTCGTGTAGTCCAATGCACAAGTTTAGCTGGCAAAAGGCTCCCTTCATCACATTGCAATATTGCAGAGAAACTACCGGAAACGGCACGCTGCACTGTTCCATGTGTTAAGTGGGTTGCAGGGGAATGGGGAAAGGTACGTCATTTCAATTGATTTGCATACAGATTTAGCAGCTAACGCCTTGTAATCTTGCAATCTTAATCTTGTCTTGACATTCAATTTGGTAAAATATTTAGCTACACCAACGCTAATTAATACCAACTAACTTGAAATACAATTGCTCAGTATAAATCATACAAAACCAATTATATATATGTATTGCTTGCTGATGTCACAAGTACAATTGAATAATGAAAGTCGAACTGAGTTGTTTTTAAATATTTGTAAAGTTAGGGAGTACTTTATTTCATTGGGGATCGTATCCCATATTTGACTACATATATATTACATAGTATTGAATCCATATATTTTGTACTTTAGCTCTCTTCCTTTGAATTGGGGATTTTTTTCAAATTACATGGGCATTCGTTCCTTGAAACAGGACCCTCGCTAAATGCTTTACACATTTCTATCGCATCGATCATGGATTCTCTATAAATTTTACAACAGCTTTCATATATCCTACCCATGTTCTGTTGGTAGATAATGAAAGCCGACACACTATCTCCTTTTCTAGTGCCCGTCAAACTGCAAGGAAAAACAACGAAGATGTATCTTGTGCATCAATATGCACACATTTGCCCATTCAACGGAATGCAGCGACTCAGACAAACCACCCGAAGAAAGGACCTGCCCCATCAATGATTGTAGTTAGTTGTCGGTGTAAATATTCTAGAGTCCTTTTAATAGGTACATCCATTAAGACTGTTTTTATCGAACGATATAAGACATATTTATATGAAGGAAGATATGTTATGTATATGTCGCTAAGTTGTTGTAATTGCGGTTTTTAACGCCTCTTTGGAGCGTAAAAGATAACGTTTTGCTTTCTTGTTAAAGGAGAAAACTTGTTATAAAAAGTAGATAAGTTATTGAATCGAAATTATAAGTTATGTAAAAGTATTTCTTGTTCAATCTTCCTAAGAGTTTTTTGACTTGCAGTTGAAAGACTTGTATAAAAGATTGCTTAAAATTTCCCCGCGACCGTTAGTTACAAAGGCTTGAAATTGTCCCTATACATACGAGCATTGCCAGCTAGCTTGTATCAAGAGATTTATGATAATTGTGGAGTTATACTAGGAGCCGTGCTTGCACCTATGTTTTTACACCGACTAATGATTAAGCTTTTACTGGAACTTTTGGAATATTGACAGGGACATCGATACTGCATGACAATGTTTCTGAGCTAAACCTGTTCCCGTGGTCGTGGAAATAGATGTAAATCTTTTTTATATACATTCCAAAAATTTACATAACAAGTTACTGTTATACCTTAACTACACGCTACTTTACATACACTACGAAGACGATGCCCCGGGGATCATCAACACCAGATGTAAGAGGCGTAACATCTTAAAGAGCGAGAGGCAAAGACAACGCACTCAATACATTTTGTGTGCTCTTTAATTGCACTAAAATTAACACACTAATTAATTACAAACACCTATATATACGTTAATACGTGATGTGACATTGATTGATAACTAACACGTGATATGACATGTGATTGTATACACGTGTCCTATTACATCAACTCTGTCTACCCCGGGGCCATAAGATAGAGAGGAAAATATGCACGTCTGTAATAACAAATACTTAAAGATATAAGATGGGGAGGGGGTTCGTCTGTGAGAAGTTAACTTTAATCGAAGCGTTTTGGCTTCAAAAAGATACTTTATTGGGTGATTTAAAATTAGCTTGTTAGCTTTCAATGGCAAATCTTCATTTCCATATAAAAGGATTTTCAATATATTGTTATCTAGAGCCTCGGGTTTACCATAGGCTTCGAGTACATTTTTTGCAGAAGCGAGGAGATGTAAATCTTCGGAGAACGTGGGAAAAAACTTTGGAGCAAAACGATTTTATGTGAAAATTATCGTCGTTTACGTTCAAAGAAATTGAAAGTTCAAACAATTCTTTAAAAATATCAAGATATCTCAGTAGATACCTTCCATAAAGCTGAAAAGCCTAATACAATTGTTATAAAGTTGTTTTTGCGAACTGGTTGTTTAAGCCAATGAATCCTGGCCTCGAATAGACAATATGCAGAAAGAACCCCTTGTTGATGTTATTGCTATTTTGATCTATTGAAATGCTGAAATAAAGAATATCGATACGTCATACCACATGTTTTCAGGCTACATTCTCTTTTTTATAAGAACCAGTAAATTTAACTCCAGATTGACTGCTCTTAATTTTTCAAAAATATGAGGCTGTACTGTTCTTAATGTGTTCTTAAATTAATAGGGTGTAAGCAATGCGATTGCTAGCTTTTTCGCTCTAGGGAGGTGTTCAGGCCTCGCTTGCCAACAAAGTAAGTGAGACAACATTCATTTGCCGACAAGTTTGACTTTTTACTGAAAAAAGCACCCACACATGACTATATATTATCATTTTTGAGATAAAACGTTGTTCAAAATTGCATTTTACAGGCACGGCGCCGCTGGGAGGGCTGAAGCCCCCCACTTTTTCAAATATAAAATATTTTAACCGCTTTTTATCATTATTTTTAAACAAAATATGAAATAAAAAGAGAATAAACTATTTATATACTGCTTGATTTTACTTGATCTATTTTTTATTATTTGCCTATTATTTGCATCAATTCAGTAGATAACTTTCTGTATCGTTGCAATGTCTGCATTTTGGATGTGTAAACGTACAGTGTCTCCCCAATTTTTCCTAAAAGTCAATAACCAATAAATATCAGAGAAATGTCGAATTTTATATTCTGAGCGGTGTCGTATTTTGTTAAATTTGAGTCTGGGAGATGCATTTTTGGCCATTCTAGGGGTTTTTTTCAAAAATTTTCTTTCGCGTCGGACCCAGCCATGGTTGGCCTTCCTATGTTACTAAACTTGATTCTTAGCCCCCCCCCCCCCCCCCCCCCCCCCCCGCCCCCCCCCCCCCCCCCACAGGTTGCAATTTCGTGGCGCCGTTTCTCTTTTACAGTATTTTCGACCTAAGCTTATTTTAATTTGTTCTTAACTTCTGACTAATTTTAAGGCTCTTGTTCTTATAAAATTGTTCTTATATAAAAAGAGTGTAACACATTGCCATGATTAAGGCAAAGAATTAACATGACAATTCGCTTAGACACACAACAGAAACGGTATCGAGCAAACACATTACGAAGCGACACAGTCTCATAACAGCCAATATCGATGTACGTGCCTATTAATAGCCTGGTAGTAAAAAAACCACAAGTTATCATTATCACACAACTATTGTTTCTAGCAATGTAATAAAGTTTGATTTGGTTTTAATTTGGTAATTACCTTGTTTAGTGCACCGTGCATTCAAAGAATTACATCACTGCCCAGGACGTCATTATCACGAGTTGTTAATGCAAAACGTCACAACTGGCAGGTGGCAAAATCTTTAATTTGATTTGAAGCTCAAATGAAGAGAGAAAAGTTTGAGTTTTCATCAATTTGAGGCAACTTTTCTAAGAAAGTGAAAACTATAAGAAACAGGTAATATCTGGACTGGGGCATCGAGTACTTTGTCAGCTAATGGTGCCTGGATACCCCTTTGACCACAATAGTGAGCGAGGGCCATGCAAATACATTTGGTGGGGGTAACTTAAAGGCACCACGCACTGTCTAAAAGTGAGTGGGCTGATAAGGGCATGACAGAAAATTTTTAAGGGCCACGCCCTTTAGAACGCCGGAATATATATCACGAAATAAGACACCAAAAAATTAACAAAAAGGGTTCCCGGACAAGAAAAACTGCCACTGCGAGGATCCGTTGGATTAGAACTTCCACTTTATAATTTTTTTTTACCTTTTGTTGCAAAAAAGTGGGGGGTAACCTACGTTCCTACAATGGTGTAATTAAAGCATGGACTAACTAACAACTAATTAGCTAAAACTTGTAACCAATTAAAATAAGTGCATGCTTTTATGCTTTGCTACCAATGGTAATCAAATTTATTTGATGTTAATATGAGTTTTCACAACGTACCGTACATACCCAATATATCATATACCCACGAAAAAATGGAATTGTTCATCAATTTTTACTTAAATTTCAATAATATGTCGTTTATTGTATGGTTAGGAAGGGAAAATGTTGCTGAACCTGTGTAGAATCTCAAACTTAATACCTACCGGTTTCAATTTAAACAATTGTTTCTATTGTGGATGCCTTTTCCAAAAAAGCTCCTCTCTGAGCACCGAAATATTCCACACAAAAATTTGACAAAATGGACAGATGCCAAGATACTGATCGCGTGTTACCCATTCGGTGCACTGCAATGAGGCACTGCGGTACCTCCATCTGTTACCTCAACGGTGGCGCATATCAACAATGCTCAACACACCTTGCAGCACCATTATGCTTGATGGTGCTCCAGAACAACACAAGGTGCTTTGTAATGCTGCTGAATAACAAACAATAAGAGAATGTGTCTACCACGAGAATAACAAGTACGTTTATCGATTATTAGCATCTAATCGTTTAAATGCTGTCGCTTGGCTTTAGAATTTCATATTCAAAACAATTTCAGGCCTATTAAATCTTGTGCTGACTGATACAACGGCGTTACCACGACCGAAGCTTCTTCTGAATCTGTTTCTGTTGTTTTCGTGTCAAAGAGGACAACGAATTTAATCCTGACACAAACTGTCTGCTGACAAGAAAGCTTTGTCTAAAAGCAGAGACGACTTGTAAGTATTATTTCACAACTAAGAGAGGTTTTGTCAATGCTTTTCTTGATAAATGCCCGTGTTGAAAGTTTCTGGAGGGTCAGGCCTAAACATGACTTGTATTGAAATTTTTTACCACTTACAACATTTAACTGTAATCTTACATAAATTTGCTCGCAATAATTTGCTGATGATGGGCTACTACTTAGCATATAGCTAAATGCATGTAGTGTATACATAAAATGGTTGTATCGGTTAAATAACTTCAGATTTATAGCTAAACAAGTGAATATACGAGTGGGACACACGCCAGCCAGATTCGATCCTACAGAAAAAGAAACATGTTTTCATAGCAAAACCTCATCGGAACAGCTATACTGAAAATAGAAAATGCCAATTTACGTTCAACGGATCTCTAACTTCCTGTGCATAATAAAGGCAAAATTTCTTGTCAATCTCGTTTGAATTTATTTCTCTTTTGCCAACTTATTTGTTTAACTATGGTTTTCGACAAGGCTTGAATTCCATCCAAACTTGTCAACACAAAGGGACTGGTAATGAATCAAAGAAGCAGTAAAGAGCCCTATGCGTTTAATGAATCAATTTTTAAAAAGGTTTTCAGGGAAAGTGTTGCCTTTCCTTTCAGCTTTTCTTATTGATCAAATTTCTTACTGTTTTGATCTTTGTATCAATTTGCTCACTTGTCATAAAATCTTGATTTGCACCATTAGCTGGAAGTTATGTGAGGTTAAAACCAGGAATCTAGTGGCGAGTTGGGCTCGGGGTTCTGCTTGTTTTGTTTGAATTGTCCAAAAACTTGAGAGCTGAGTAATATTTGGGTGTTTTACTTGATTTTCTAGCTGTGCTTAAAAATTTATCTGTTTTAAAAAAGTTGTAAGCCTCTAGATGTGTTGCTTATTTGAAAGCATGCTTTGCCCCTGATGGGATATGAAAATATTCAATGGCATAGCAAAAATGCAGATTTCTCTGAAACTTTCCCGGGAAACCCAAAAAAAATTAAATTCTAGCCCAGAACACAGAATTGTTCTCACATTCCCTGCAGAGATGTTAGTTAGAAAGTTTATTGTTTAATGATAATGCTGTTTGCTGTATCATTCTAAGTTGCTACTTGAGTCAGTGTGACCAGATCTAGCCTCATATTGTGCTTTTAGCATAATATTGGTCAAAAATCGTCATTTTGCTTAAAATCTAGCATAATTTGGAATCTAACATAACTCTGGCATAATTTTCATATTTTTTAAAAAAATAATTGTTTCCATTGCTCTGTTATCCATCGTTACCAAATGCAAACACTTTACACCAGCATCCATGGTTATCATTTGGGAGTAAATTGTGACTTTCCACTTTCATGGTTTTGCCAGTTTTTTGGAATGGTTGGCAGCCAAATGTTTTACGGTTGGCGGCCAAATTCAGCCAGCTAAACAAAATATACAAAAAAGCTACATTTCTACTAATTGTGAGAAGTGATAGTGTAATAAGATTTTGCTTTGTAGGCTTCACTTGACTTTATCTTGAATTTTCTGTTAACTGTTACTTTGTTTCATGTTTTCGTCATTTGCATTATTGAAATTATTTTAAATGCGGCAGATTCAGCCAACTATTGCTTCTTTGGCCAAACCAACGACCAAAACAGATAATGTTTGTGTACAAAGGCTGAGTACACTGTGTTTTAGATGAGTGGTCAGAAAGGCCAAATGGCAACTCTGACAGCCAGAGTCTCCAACCTCAGAGTCTGGCCACTTATCCTATTCTGAGCATGCACTAGCCTCTTTTCAAATGGGGCTGCCTTGATTTGAAATTTAGCATATGTTTGCAAACCTAGCATAATTTTATGACAAATTTTGGCATAATTATGAAATTGAGATCTGCCCATACTACTCTGAGTTTCATGCTTAATGTGATCATCAGGCAACTGTGTATACGCATTTAGCGTGAATGCCCAGAGACACAACTTAGAACTGTCCTTTTCATTACACCAAATAGCAAGTTACAGCTCTGTCTAACCATTACAGACCAAAATGCTGTAATTTTCATTATATGTTAATATAGATGTAAAAATATTTAGATCTCTCAATTTTTGGATAGGGAAGAAGTTTGTGCTTCTGTCAGCTTTAAATCATTTTCCCTACCACAAAGAAATTTCAAGAACTTTTCTTTCAAGAACATTATTGACACTGAGTCATGGTAAACAGGCATCCTTTGCATGAAGTTGTTTACTTTCAGTTGATCAAAGATCATGACTAAGCAAATTTGAGTATACCTTCTACTTTTATCATGACTCATCACATTTAAGAAGCTGAGATTTGGCAATATCTGGACAATGTCACCATTGAATAGGTGTCCTAAAGCTGAACCATCTTGGAAGAAAATTCATTAAGTTAATTTTTTTCTGCACATTTATTTATAGCAATAGAAAGTGTCCCTGATCTTAAAAAGTCAACATAAAGTGTTAAAAGTTTAGACAAAAAGTGCAGACAAAAAGTTAAGCAGTTATTTATTGTAATCTGATTTCAGCACAATAAACATCAATTGGTTAAGTACAATACAAAATGTCAGTAACTACATCTGTCAAAACGAAGAGAGCTGTCAATTCTTACATTTAGACCTTTATCCATTGAATCAGTAAAATTCATTAGCAAACTTTAATGAGATACAAGCTTTTGTACTCATGAAGAGTGGAGAAGAATTGAATCACAATTTTTGATTATTTGATCCTCTGCTAAAATGATATTTTGTTATGGGAATTGTGTAGGCTTGGACTTGGTATCAAAAAGTCTCCTTGTTAAATTTCTGGGACTTTGTCTCTGGTAAGAGCCCAAACTGAAACCTTACAATTTTATCTGATTTCTCTTATAGACTGTTTTGCTGTTTCATTCCATTTTCAAGTTTCAAAGAAACTTGAGACAATGGGTGCTCCTGATTTATTTGCCTCCAAGATCAATGGTTTGGATGCTAGAAATTTAGCCCATCAAGATGCTAATGCAGAAAATATTAACTGGTAGGCATTAGATAACAACAAATACTTTTTTTTCAGTTTTTTTCACAAGTCACTTTTGTATTTCTGTCAGCTTGTAATTGTTTGCTTTTTCAAATAATCTTTCCTCTTTAATATCTTTTCAACCCAATGAATGATTGCTCATTAAATATTGATTGTCTTAATTGAAAGCCTTAATACTGCATAGCAGGTCATTTTGAAGATTTAAAAATTGATAAACGTTAAAAGATTTGTTTTGACTTTGTCTGTTTCTCTGCCTTTCTTATTTAAAAAAAAATTCCAAGTGAAATGGTAAAACTTCTTCTTGATTTTGCAAGATAATATGAAAGGGATAAACAATATACCACCCTATCTGCTACAACAGTGAACCTTGTTCCTTTGTGCTTGGAGCTTTCTAACATCCATTCATGTCCTATTATATTGATACTTACATATGAAAAAATACTTATGATAGTTGATAGCGTCTGAATAGAGCCTAGGAATCATAAATTTGTGTGAGCTCCAAAGTTGCTCTGCAGGTTTATGTAATAGCTTTTATAGTTAGGTACAAAGAACATGAATTTTCATCAATCTGTTAAATAACTTTGCATGCTTTTATAAAGGTACACCATAGAGGTCAAGAGAATACAATGGCCTTTTGTTCTAAAACAGTGGGAAAATGTGACATCATCATATCAAAACAATAGACTTGCTCCCCCCCCCCCCCCCCCCCCCGAATATTAGACCAACTGTCTGCCCCTGCTTCAAGGCCTTAGTGATATTCTTACCATCTGAAACACTAAAATATCAATACAACTATCTAACCCACAAACGCTGGACCACATCAGTTTAAAAATTAAAATCTAAAAAATTGCTTGTATGTTACATTCTTAAACTTGCATAAAAATAAACTTTAAGGCACATTGTTTGTAAGGTATAAACATCTTTTAACAAACTGTTTGTGTTTGCATCACATTGTTTTGAATTTTGAATGCATCATATTCTTTTATATAAATTAGGAAGAATGTTTCATGTTTTACAGGGCTATGTCTCTTCTTGACACCTCAAGATTGGCCACATTAGCTGTATCTCTTTTCCTCATTATTTATGGAAGTTTTAGGTAGGTTTATTATTGTTGTATTTTGTCCTTATTACGGAGACAAAATTTAGTGTATGTCCACAACTTGTTGTGATAGAGGTTTTAATGAACACATTAATGTTCCCAAGACAGATGTTGCACAAAATGCTAGCTTGAGAATTTTATGACAGCCCTGACACTATTGTGAGTTGACCTAAAAAAGTGAAGCAAAGTTCCATGAAAACAACAAATCTTTGACACTGATATTCTGAATTGAAATGAAAGCATAGTTGTTTTGTTATCGAGATTCTCGCTGTATTTATTTAAATTTTATTAGGAGCTTGAGTGAAACAAGATAGGTAAGAATGTGAATGGCACATACACAAATTTTTTGTGCATGTGATTTACCACACAGGCAGTAATTTCTTTATGATGAACACTGTCAAGATATTTCAGAACAAAATCAATTTGGCAAAATGTCACCATTTTGCTTGCTTATCTTTATGCAGATTTTTATAGAAATTGTTATTGTGTGTATATAATGTGATATTTTATGGATGTAATGACGTACAATGTCTACAGTTAAAGAATTTCCATATCACAAGCTCTTGTTTATCTTTGCTTTCTTTGATCTTTGTATTTCTTTAATTTCTTGGTAATCTAATTCATAGAGCTACAAAAACTGACAAGAATAAAGAAGATATCGAGGAAGAAGATGGTTCTTCCTCTAGTTTTCTCTGGGAACAAGGTAACATATTGAATATCAATGATGTTTTCTATGATTCAGGTTTTATATAATGCTAGAGTGTATGTGCAACACCGATGCCTTTAAGCTATCTTTTACCATATCTGATAGATACTGTAAATCCTCGAATTGCCCCCTCACCCGAAAAAGACCCGCCCCCCGAATAAGCCCCCACCCTAGAACTACAAATCGTCAATAGGCCCCCCTCGAATAAATCCCCATTGCTACCGTAAATCTCGAATTGGACCCCACAATTTGTTGACTCTTGCCATTTGAGGTTGCCTATGGCGTTTTCTTGAATCACCACAACAAATTCTTACTTTTGGTAGTAATTAATTAAATGCTCATAAGTAAATTCCTGCTAAGATAAACGAGGTCTTTTGATAATGTCTTCTTAATGTCTACAATAATTTTATTAAGCCCTCCCCTCGTATATGCCCCCTTTAAATAAGGACCATCCAAAAATATCAAAAATAAATAAGCCCCCAGGGGGCTAATTCGAGGATTTACGGTAAGCACTTAAAAAACCTCTTAGTTTTATGTGTATGTTTAATGTTGACGTTTTGACAGACAAGCGGCACTGATTAGGCAACCACAACAGGCATATGCTTGCATTTCTGATGGACCTATTTCAATCCACAACCGGGTATATTTCCTGGCATAGAGTTTTTGATCTATGTTCTGACGTTTTATATTCTGAGAAAAGCTTTAGTAACGGGTTTCACAATGTTTGCTTTTTTCATAGATAAGCTTGTGTTATGTTCAATATGCATTCAATTCATACCTTGGCCATACTATATAAATTGAAGGGGTTGGGGTAGGAAGTTTCTTTTACCGCCCCCAATACCTTAGTGAACAATGGTTTTTTGTTCTAAAACAATTAGAATTGTGACGTCATCTTATTAAGACAATAGGCTTGCCCCCCCCCCCCAATATTTGACCAAGTGTCCGCCCCTGGTCATACTGAACATCTTTTGCATTCTGCTCTGTCTATCTCATTCAACAGTTCTTTTACTTTTTCATTGACTGGATTCTTTTCAGGTCACACAATCGAGTCAGCACAGGCCTTGCTCCTGCCATTTGGTGCATCCATGAGCTTATTAATCATGTTCTTCTTTTTCGATTCTCTCCAGTTGTTATTCACATTAATGACTGCAGGTAAGATATTCTCTCGTAGCCTTATTTGCTTTTTTCTTTTTTGAATCTGTTACAGTGATAATTTGTTGTCAACCCTAACTAAATTATTGTCAGCGCTTCCAACAGAAGTGGTCAATCAAAGAATAGATAATTTTAAAGTCATTTCGCTAGCTAAATTAATGCTGCTTTATAAGAAAAATGAGCGTCAACTTTCAATTTTTTTTCATTAGACTCAACCTTAATTTTTCATGATTTCAGTAATTTACGTAACTTGATAATATCAGTAGTTCTGCATTTCTGCTTAATCATCGTTAAGAATTTGAATTCCTTTCCAATCATATTATGAGCTTGTTATTTGCCATAACTCATGGTCATGGAAGCCTATCTTTTTTTTGGAATATTTAACTAGTTCCGGACGGGTAGCAGTAGGTGGCAAAAGGATCCCCTATTTTTGATGCTGGGGGGGGGCAAGGAGACAGATCATATGCCTGATCTTTTTTGATAGATTGATAGGATTTCCTATCTGGTTTACTGATTCCCCCTCAAACTCTTATTGCAATTTGTCAAAGCCCTTCTACAAAATAACAGCTTTGCCATGTTAGCTTGGCCAGCATTTATTCTTTAGCTGCATCCATTGAGAACGGTATCATATAACATAGCTAAGAATGATTTTTCTTTGTAGTTTTAGCAACAGTGGCCTTCTCATTCCTGTTACTGCCTTTGTTTCAATATTTGACGTCACCATGTTTTAATCCAAATATCAAGTAAGTATATAATGTTTCTTTTCAACTGCATATGGTTAAAGGGAGACCGATTTCTGCAAATGATAACTCACCCCGTCGAATTTTTTTCCGGTGACAGTAGTGGCCTACAAAGATTGAATGCTTTGAAACCCTTCAAATATTGAATGAATGAATAAATATATGAATTTATGAATAAATAAACGATCGAGTGAATAGATGATTGAATGGATTGTTGAATGGATGATTGAATGATATTCATCTACAACAGTTTATAAGGCCTCTACGTATTCGTTTTTCTTTGTTCTTATACTTGCTTTCTGCCAAATGATGAAGATTTCAAAGTCATTGGGAAACCAAGGTCATCCTTTAATTTAGACGTTTTTGAATCTGCCTGCATTAAAACAAAAGTCTGTGTGGTGTGTACATAACAAGTTACTTTTCTATTTCGAACTCTGCAACTATGATAAGGGTGGAAAACTGATGGGTCACAAGCAAGGGATCAGTCAAACTCGCCATTCTTCCTCGGTCCCTATCTAGATGTTATTGTCAGTTTAGTTTAGGTTTGTTATTATGCAATGTTTTATATTCCAACGACTGTTAGACGTAAAGTTTATTTCAGTAGCACGTGTTCTGTTTCTGCTATTTGACACCATTTTGTTTCTGCTGTTTGGTACCATTTTGTTTCTGCTATTTGGCACCATTTTGAATTTTTACAGTACCAAAAATCTTTTAATAAATTTTCTCAATATAGTTCATTACCCGTTCTTAGAATCTTTGATTTTATCAGTTGTTAGTACATCTTTGTGATTTTAAGGGTTCGTTTGTCTCATATCCCTAAATTGATTTGTTAATCATTTCCTTGATAATTAAATCTATTTTCTCGTTAGGATATCGTTTGGGATTTGCGGCAGATTCACCTCTGCTGAAGTAATGTCCCTCATAGCCTCCGCTGTTATTGTCCTTATGTGGATACTGACAGGTCATTGGCTTTTAATGGATGGTATGTTCAACGATTATTGTTTATTTCTGCTTTACTCTTTGCAGTCAAAACCTAAAATCCTCGCAAAACGTCATTAGAATACCATTTTGCTTGAGTTTTGTTTTAAAATGTAGAAGCTTCCAGTTGTGAAGAGTGACTTTGTACCCCTTCTCCACGAAAAGAATGCTGGTCGTAGTGTTAAAAACCGTATGCCCAGGGCATTTTTTAAGGATTTTTTAGTGTTGGGGCATTTTGCAAAAGGGCTCACGCTCACCACCAGAAATTTTCTGTGGTTTATAGACCCCGCTTACCCTAAAAAATTCTGGCTTGTTGCAAGGGCTGGATGGGTTGTTACGCACAAATATTTTTAGGATAACTATTAGGTTAAGATGTGTTCTTACACTTGCGATGACTTTTGGCACTTGTAGCAGTGGAGCTATTTCACCATAATTGAAAAGAAAATATTCTGTTTCTTTTTGCCTGTACATTTCCATCATGTTTACACTTTTGAAAAGGCCCCACAGTGGCCTAGACATTTGGAATAAAAGTAGCACTTAGCTCGTCAGTGGTAGGGGAAGTCGTAGGGCAATTCCCTCTTCACTGAGTATGTTAGATAACGCTCTGCGTATGGCTCTCGACTTCAGAAACCAGAACATAGTATAAGACAAATAAGTCTGCAAAATGTTTTTAATAGTTTGCTATTAATGCTTTAGGGGAGCTGTTGATAATCTGCAATCATAAAGATTAATGTTTTAAGACTTTGACAGGAATTGTAGCCTGAATCACCAACAAACATACGTAGTTCATTTCAAACGCAATTTATTCCCCGAAATGAAATTCGACCAGTTGAAATAAAATTCGATGGTTTTCATGCATCTTAAATGATTGCACACAGACGCGGTGCTGTAGCTAAAGACTTCTGTCATGACCTTCTTTCACCGACTTGTTTAAATGTAGTGCGTTAAAATTGCGGCCTCACTTTTTAACGGAAGCTTCAAAGATACTTTTTCAGTGAATAAATTATTACCAAAGACAGGGCTACAAATAAAATCCCTATTCCATATTGTATCTCGTTGCATTTCATCTTAATCAGTTATGACAAAATTTGTTAAGTTGGATATAACGAAGGTTGGATACATTTTTTCTTGTTCGTTGCAATTTACTTGCTGTAATATGACGAATAAAGATCTCCTGATAGAACTCAAATTTTTGTTGATGCAATAGTTATGAATTTTGCACATCCTAATGCTCTCTAATATCTTATGTTGTCTCCTTTCAAACACTAGCTGCTAGTAAAAGTTTGAAATGATGGGCTGAAATGACGGGGGACCTTTGGTATTCGGTATTCTCGTACATTTTCGGAATGTTTGTCTTTAAGAATACATATTGATGTCCGGTTGATTCATGTAGTATAAATGGGTTTTTAATATAGGACGACTTCAAGATTTATAGAGAGTAATTCGAAACACAGATTTGCTGTCTAGATTGACCTTGCATTATGCTCCCAGATTCCCAGGCTCCCAGTCTCAATTCTGTTTTATACGTACATCATCAGTGACAAAACGGTAACCCCAGTTTATCAGTTCCTACAATCTAGAGTGCTGATCGATGTCAGTCTTGACACAGCAGTTCTATTTTGAGGTGTACGTTTTAAGTTACAATTAAAACATTTCAGGTTGATCTCAGGGCTTCATTCTACCCTTATGGTCACTATCTCAAGAGATACAACAGGGGGGATTATTTTGGAAATCATTTCTTGTGATGGAAGCTTAACCTATTATTTTTAAATAACTCTGCGTTTGCTTTTTAGCCCTTGCTATGGCTCTTTGCATCGCGATGATAGCGTTCGTTAGGCTGCCCAGTCTCAAAGTCTCAGTTCTTTTATTGTTTGGTCTCCTTGTTTATGACGTCTTTTGGGTAAGTTGACTTTCAGTTCAATTATTCATTATCATTTGTCCCAACGATGTCTAGTAGGTTGCAGGAGATTCTTCTGCCTTGCCAAACTCTGTCGAAATCTTATTAAATCAAAAATAACCAGCTAGAAACCTGCGGGTAGGCGCCTGTGCCAGGGAAGATGTTTGTAGGCAGCATTCATTGCAAGATAGCCAGTTGATGTATATTCCACGCTTCAGTCTCCGTTATTCAGTTTATCTTATCGAGATAGCAATTGTTGGCAAACAGCTTCATATCATCTAGCCTGCGTGCAGACTCTGTTGACAAAATTGAAAATATGAGAAAAAGTAGAGTCTGCGAAGCCGAGCCGATTTTCTTGTTCACAGGTTCCTCAAAATCAAGCAACCGAATTTGATTGGTTGGGGGAATTTCGATTGCCTTTTTCAGTTTTCAAAGTGGCGCCTTCGCGGCGAAGTATAAATGAATGGTATCAGGATAATAGAATAGGTCTGTTTGTTCTTTTGAACAAATAAAATTACAGAAAAACATTGCACGCTAATGAAGTTGTTGTGCTAGTGCTTAGAATAAAATAACTTTGCTCTATATTTTTATATTTTTGCTTCAGGCAAAACAAATGTTACTTTTGATCAGATGCTTTATTAGCCGTTTAAGCTTTGCGAAGTCATTTCCTCTTGTCTACGTTCAGTTATGTGTCTGTTTATGGATTTGTATCAATATTGTGCGCTGAAGCTTTGCTAATTGTTGTTTTGTTCTTTCCAGGTCTTTTTCTCAGAGTATATATTCAAAGTCAATGTTATGGTTAAAGTTGCAACACAGCCAGCTTATAACCCGGTAAGGCTCAAGTTTAGCACGTCCAGATACAATGTCTCGCCATCATCCCTGCTCTAAGATGCTATCTTTTTTCAGTTCTGATATTTACTGGTCTTAATATCAATCCCGTATTGAAGATGTGTGTGTGTCTGTTTTAATTCACTTTGCTTGTGTATTACTGTTGAAGGCAAAACTCCCAACGATATTACTCTTTAAACTAAGTCATATAAGATAAAATCTCATTATGCTATCTTTTTATACAGATTCTTGTAAATCGGCGTTATTTTAAAGTAAATCCTGCTGGTTTCTTGTTCAGAATTTGTGAATTCAGTCGTTTTAGGCTTTTGTTTATCGTAGATTTGATAGTTACTCATTAGAACTCTACTCTATCGATAATTTTTTCACAAAAACATGTCCGTTGTCGATTATTTGTGTTTACGGGATTCTTTTAAGTACTCAAAGTCATATAGACATTTTTAACCCTAATAGTCTGTACATAGCTTTTAACACAAGCTCCTAAATATAAAACGAGTAGCATGCGTATATAGTGCAATCCTCTGTGCCATTCTCTACCCATTCAAAATCGGAGTACGTGTAAATATGACGCCATCCAAATTGTTTGGATACGTTGGTTGGGATATGTCAGTGCAATTTCCATACTTGTAATTTGATCTGGTTATCCTATGAAATTTGTAACTCGAATAAACAATTTGAAATTTCACGTTTTGCAAATTTAGTGAATCCAGTGCTAATTTATCTCTGTATCTAGAGGCAAAATATGACAGTTCTAATGTATGACGTCATAAAATTTTTATTTTTGGGCCTGTTTACTTTTGACCACGTAACCTAAAAAGCACCATTAAATACCTCTAAATGTAGAAAATCGGTTGATTATGTTTATAATTGGGTAAGATATTGCCAATGAAAGGTTCAAAATTTCCTAACTGATAACTGTTAATTTGGCTTGGTTCACGAAAGTCATGTACAGTGAGCAAATTACAGATATTTTGATGGTCACTTTTGCACTTTATGTTGTCTTTCCAAACATTGTCGTTAACGTGTGGTGTGCAGTATCAGGTAACAATATAACGTTGAATATAAGATTAAATTTTGGATGAAAAGAAATTTAATCAAGCGAATTTTATTAACGACGTTTCGAGTACAGTCCGTTATCAAGTTTTGTTTCCTAAGCCACTCTTGTGAGCACGAATATCTCAGTTTATTAGTTACGCTACGTGCTCTTTTAATTGCATATGTTTTTTTCTTTTTTAGGTTAATTCTTTGGCTTATAATGACAATAGTTTACCGGCATCCGCAGCAAAAGGTTTCCCTAAATTATCCCTACCTGGTAAACTTGTTTTTCCAAGGTTAGTTCACTGCTTTTTTTCGATTTCCTATCCTTTTCGGTTTGCTCTTGTATTCGTTTTTATTCCGATTATGTCTTTAAATCAAAATACTGCGTTTTATTAACAAAGCTACCTCATTAGTTGATATTGTTAACTATTGAACGTACAACGATGTGATTATAAAGTTGTGTTGTTAAGTTTACACTAAGAATAAGACTCATTTGCAAGAAGATGAGCTGTATTTGTCTCACTTTCTACTGCCTCGTACTTCGTTTCAAATAAGCATCCGCATCGTAACATCTAAGCAAGGCGCATGACGTCACAATCGTGCTGTAATTCCAAACCAGGAGTTTGGTTCAACTAATGGTTCAACTTCTGAAGTTTTTCTAAAGTCAACTGATCAGAAAAGTAAATTCTATTTTGAACTAAGAACTCCTGAGAGTTTTAAGTCGGTTAAGAAGATTTTCTTGGTATTTGCTACTTGTCTACTCACTTTTCTAATCTAATTATTCTAATCACTCTGGCTCTAATCCTAATCCTTTGTTTTTCTTCTAGCTCCTACAGAACAGGACATTTCTCGATGCTTGGTCTCGGTGACATCGTATGTATTTTTAAAATGTTTGTTGCTCTGGCACCCTGATTATTGTTAAGTCCAACTTGGCAAGTTTTCGATATTTTTTGAGATTTCAATATTATTGTTCATGGGGAAAGTTACTGTCAAATTGATATTTTTTTATCTACGTAACTGCGAATTTCACTATATCTTCCTGATTTATTTGCACCTTTTAAAGAATATCAAGAGGAATAAATATGGCCAACCCCACATCCCTTGCAAGGCAATTGTGTCTTGTCCTTTGATACAGCTCAGTTATTTTACAGGTTCAATTGAACTTCAAGCTTTTTTAGAATGATTTATGCATGTAATTTCTCTTTCGTATTCTTCTTCTGATAACAGGTTTACAACTCAGTTATTTTACAGGTTCAATTGAACTTCAAGCTTTTTTAGAATGATTTATGCCTGTAATTTCTCTTTCGTATTCTTCTTCTGATAACGTTTATAAAAATTCTGATGTCTTTTTTGCATGAAATTTCAGGTGATGCCTGGCTTGCTTCTGTGTTTCGTTCTTCGTTTCGATAATCACAAGAAACGCATGAATTTGAACGAGGGTGAAACTTCAAAGATAACATATTTCCACTGCTCCCTTATCGGATATTTTGTTGGTGAGTTCGGATTTTGTTTGTTTTGTAAATGTTCATAGTTGTAGCATCAACCATTTAGTTTTGCTCTTCAACAAAAATTTCGCAAGTCACTTTATTTATAGTAAATCATGTTTCCTGATCGTGGAAAAATATCAATCTTTTTACTCCTAATTGAATACCATAAAATACTACACTACAAAGACAAAGTTTTCTTTGCACAGATCACTCAGTTTGCTAAATTCTAATATACTTCCTATCCCATCTGGAAAAGTTTTCTAATATTTACCTAAATATTTACTATGGCTTTGAAAAAAGCAAACATTTAGTAAACTAAAGCTTTTCGTCTGACACTCTTCAGAGTTTAAAACGTCAGAACATAGACTGAAAACTCTACGCTAGGAAATATATATACCCAGTTGTGGATCGAAATAGGCCAATCAGAAACACGAGCACATGACTTTTGAGGTTGACCAATTGATTTTCGTCGTTTTGCTCTGTTCCTACTAACAACTATCAAAAAATACTTTGCTTTAACTCGTAATTGACACTTTGAGAGTTATGCGATTTTTTCAGGTCGTTTTTTATCTGGGTGAGTGTTTTAATTAACTTTGTGTCTGTCTGCCCGAAATTTCACTATTTTAGTTTGCCTGTTTGCTATGTGTGAAGATGTCTCTTCCCTTGTAATTGGACGATCCACTGTTAAGGCTCTTTTTCATTATATCTATCAAACGAAGTGCCACGAATAGACAGATGCAATCGATCTTTTCCAAATATTTCAGTTGACACCGCTTTTCATCACAGCCACTTTCAATAGCCATGAATTACTTTTGTAGGCTTGTTAACCGCAACCACAATCTCGGAATTATCCAAAAGCGCTCAACCCGCCCTCCTCTACCTCGTTCCTTTTACAATTCTTCCGCTGATAACACGGGCCTATGTCAAGGTAATTATGTTTTATGTGTATATATTTCATTAATGATTCATGATCTGACTGTGAAGACAGATAGAGTATTTTAATATCACGTTTTATATCATAGACTACCCCTTGGAGAGGCTTTCTTAAAGCCCTCATTTTTCTATAATCCTTGAACTATGCATTTCCTTGCACAGTCTCTGGCGTTTTTAGTAGCAAAAATCCCTGCCAAGAAAAGTTGGAGCACCGCTATATACACATTCGTTGACAAAGTTAACAAACTGAGGATTTAATTATATCAACGCTGTTGCTGTATTCTTCCCCTCCACCCTTTAATGTTGATCTACATTCGAAGTGTTTATACTCAAATCATAGTTAGGTTGGAACTAACATTCATATAATTTTGATATTAATAAACACTGTAACGGCTAACCAATCAAATTTATCCCCTCATTTGCAGCAAGAGTAACAGCTGTCTCGTTGACATGTCGTTGCTTTTTAGGCCCTTTAAAGATAACAACTGATTGTATAAACTAACTAATTACATATTACTTTTGAATCGACTTAATACTGCGAGGTTAACTTAATGAAGAGCAAATATATTACAAGTTTAAAATCGATATATGAAACTGGCACAACATAACAGAAACACATTTACAGACAGGAGTAAAACAACATTGTACTATATAACACTAATCAGATCATGTTGTATTGCACGGGGTCCTATCTTTATTTTAATGCTTTCATGACTGGTTCTTATCCTTACCGAATCTAATCTAACCTTAATGGAAAGATTCAAGCGACTACAATTGCACATAAAACATAAATTGCCATGCATGAACCCTACAGAGAAATTAAGCCAATGTTTAGCATATTCACATTACAGGTAATTATGTATCATAATATAAAGAATAGTTTACTTCTCGTTCATTCTCTTGAATGTTTCTTAAATGTTTGCCTGCATCAGACACGCAGAGGATTACACACATTTAATGCTTGCGTGCACCCAAACATTGGTAGTTTTACCAGCATATAACGACATCAACAAAAAGCAAGGACAAAAGATCTTAGTAAGATAAGAATCCATCAATATAACATGCTACGTGCAGAGCAAAATGTAGCAACGATTGGCAATCCATGTTCTTGGAGCCATGGAAATAAGGACGCTGTTAGCGACTACAGAAGACCCTTTGCCCTATATTATTTCGGAAAAATGATATTCTACGCCAATCTGATAAAAAGCAAGAGGCACATAGACTTTATAGTAAAATTCAACATGCTTTTACATACAGCAAAGCATTTTGCATACAACAGCTGTGACAATAAAGATACATTTGTTAAGATGGCCTTTCCGTGTGGCAAAGTTTGTGTTCATTGCGACTGAGCTTGACAGAATTATCCTGGACTTAAGAACTGGAAACAAATTAAGGGTCCGTTATACCCTTATCTTGTTTCTCTGTTTTCTTATTCGCTTTTCTACTATCATTTTGTCGCTAGATCTGAAACTGCCCTTTGTTGAAAAGGATGCGAGAATAAAGGCATGTCTTTATGTATGCATACCTTTGGTAGAATTGCAGAAAGTCCTTTGGGCAGAATTCATAAATAAAATGCAAATTTTGTCCTTTTACCGAGCATGTTTTAAATTTGCGATCAAGATATTTGTCAATATGTGTTTGCTTGTGACCTTGGAATTAACAGTATTTCGGCTGTCCTTTTTCGGTAAAACCACAAAATCTTGCGTCATAGCGTCAGGCTATTCTTTCCACAACATAGAAAAATTGTGCAATAAATCTCCTCAGAGTTGTGTATCATTATCACCCATAGTTTATGCTTAATACAGTTCGAGTAATCCGTGCGATTTTAACATTTTAGGGTGACTTAAAGAATATGTGGCAAAACCCATTTAATGAACCAAACAAAGGAAAAGAATTAGAAGTGTGACGTCATTCTGTCGGATCATTACATTCCAGTTCATTTTTCTACAGCCAATGCAGCTGTTCGATCGTAGTTACCTATTCTACAGCATTTTACTGATCTAGTGGACTTTTTGTAAATATTTTTTGTAGTTTTTCTTGAAAAGTGACATTAGTGTATAATGTAAAAGCATCCAACAAAACTATTTATAAATGGCCACTATAATCAAGCGACATGGCCATTAAACAATCAATGAAATTTCTTTCCGTTTCACAGTAATGTTTGAATTTGGTTTATTAGGTCGTTGTGTCCCAAACTAGCTTAAACTCTTTCATTTTCAATCGTAAAACATTCGTTTTAAAATATCCTTGTGTTTACTTGATGTCCGGATATTTAGTGAATGCTCTCCACTGCAACAAAAATTATGCCATATATTTAAACCACATTTTGTGCCACCCTGTGTTGCAACTCTCAAAAGTTTATTTGGAAAGTTTTTAGTCGTATTATTTTTTGTTCAAAAGTATCTACATTGCAATAACCGTTGCCATTTCAAACTGTGACACTAGGAATTGCAGCTACTTGTTAAGCATGATAGATTTTCACTGATGAGGTGTATTAAAATAAAACGCATCCTTTAAATTGTCTATTCGCCTGTATATTGATTGATTCTTGCTTTATGTAGGTTGTGTATATTACCAAATTTACATCTCTTTTATTAACATAAAATTCTTCTTCATGAAAGAATAAGTATGACACTTCTATCTTTGTCTCAGTTCAAAGAACATTATTACTTTGCGATCCACAGCTGCAGACTAGTTGTATAGACAATATTTGCTTCACCGTTTTGCGAAAAGCATATATAGGGATAAAGGACCTCGAGGTTTTCGGGGGCTGTTGCCTCTAGCCGCATTCATTAAGACGAATGCAAAAAGGTTTCTTGACAGTCACAAATGTACTTATAATTTTTATGATATAAGCATTTTCACTTTATGTTATCAGTTGAAAGGTCCTTGTAGTAAGACATACGCAGTGTATCAACCTTCTGTTTTAAATTGGCGTGGCTCTTGTACGCATGGATTGCTGCCCCTCAACTTTTCCAATGTACCTTTTATGCTTTCGGCCTGAAGAAAGCGGCTATCTATAGTGACCCCTTACTAACATTTTACACTATATTTTTCTCAAGTAAAGTTTCCTTCTTTGGCATCATCGTTGTGAAGTGTCAGTCGCCTTTCGGCGCCATAACAGTGACGTCATCAGCATGCTGGTCTAACATTTGCTCCTATCTGTTTTGAAAAGATTGTCGTTACGTTTGTCTGATATTTTAAATATTGTCAGTTATCGGTCATTAAAATAAAAATTTCAATGCATATATGCCTTCTCTGCAAGACCCTAAACAGGAATTTTTGATGGTCAGGTGGAATAAGATGAAAATCAAAGGAATTCTTTGGATTCTCAGCTTACACAGACACAGACAGTAAATATAAAAGCCCCAGGGGCGGCTTCTTGAGGATGTCCGCTACCAGATTGATTTCTTGATTTATGGCGGTGAAAAATTTTGCCCAGTAAGAAAGAAATAAAGCCGAATAACCAATTCAGAAGACCAAAGCTCGCATTTAAATGTGTATCATGATTGTAGATAGTTATTATTCATTGTAAGTTTATTGAATAAACTCCATCTTGTAATTAACAACACTCTTTTGTTTATTTTCGTTTTGGTAGGTGCTAAATTTAGCTATACCTCAGCTACTTTTTTAAATGCTATTTTAAAGAACTTAATAATGTTAAATATAACAAAAAATTTGACCTCCTTGCTAGGTTACGGTCAGGTGAAATGAATTAATTACGTCGTGCTGAAAGGTTAGGCCACATTTAAAGCTTTTAAGCTTGATGCGGAATGGAGGGTAGCCTGTATTCCAGGCCCCAAACTTGAAAGTAGAGGCTAGAGCACAGGTTAGGGGAGTATCATGAGTTGTTTAAGGCGTCACATCCAACAAGCGATGTCAATATAGTATGTGTATGTAAAGATGAAGGGATAAAATGTTTTTCTTCAGAAAATCTCTTCTAGACGACGTTGATTTTAAAAATTTTTAAGATTTTTTGAAGCGATTAGTAAATTTTTGCGGCGGTGAGTGGGGGTGAGCTTGGAGGCCAAAAAGGATAATACTCGAGTTTTGATGACATCCAATAAAGAGAGGAAGGGGGGCAATTTCTCTTTTTGCAAGACATTACTTTTTCTATAAATATACTAAAATGCGTGCGGTACAATATGATGAATTTAAATAATGATCAATGTAGGTAAATTGTACCAGGAAAATTTTTTTAAAATAATTAACGCCGTTTCGAGCATAGCCCGTTATCAAGTGAGATAGAAAAGCGATGTTAGAACTAAAAACCGTTAAAAGAATATAGAATTCGACGAATGGAATAGGAAGACGAATGTAAGAGCATGGAAAAGAAATATATGGAAAAAGCTAATAAAAATGAATATATATATACATATGTATATGTATATATATGCACACTACTATGAAGAAAAGAAAAAAAAAGAGGGGAGGGGGGGGGGTTTATTGAAGATACGTAAACTGTTTATTGAGTCCAGAAGGATATAAAGTTCCAAGTTTAAAAATTATCCGTTTTTCCAGTGACTTTCCCTTTGCACTGTCCGTTGGGGCAAACAAAAGGCCAAGAACTACCATGTCATCTTCTGTGTGATTCGCCAGGTTAAAATGTTTGGAAATGTTGCTATCAGGATCACTGTCGTGTTTGTTGTTGAGGTGGATTTTGTTCCTGACATTACGTAAATGCTCACCAAACCTGTTGTTAATCTGGCGTGATGTTTCACCAATATACAGAACATTACATTTGGTGCAAGAGATGCAGTATATGACACATGAGGAAGAACAGGTGAAGCTTGATTTAACAGAAAATGACTTGTTACCATTAGAAATGGTGGTAGATAGGTTGATGTAGTTGCAGGTTTGACAGAGGTGGTGGTGGCAAGGTGAGGTACCAGGAGATTCAGGTGAACGAAGGCTGCTGCGTACACCTGTATCTATACAGTTTACGTACCTTCAATAAACCCCCCCCCCTCCCCTCCTTTTTCTTTTTTTTCTTTTCTTCATATTAGTGTACATATATATACATATACATATATTCTGTATTTGCGTATATGTATATATATATTCATTTTTATTAGCTTTTTCCATATATTTCTTTTCCATGCTCTTACATTCGTCCTTCTATTCCATTCGTCGAATTCCATATTCTTTTAACGGTTTTTAGTTCTAACATCGCTTTTCTATCTCACTTGATAACGGGCTATGCTCGAAACGTCGTTAATTATTTTAAAAAATTTTTCCTGGTACAATTTACCTACATTGATCGTTATTTTTATTACTTTTTCCTGTCCACATTATTTCTTCCCACATAAGTTGCGTTATTTCATTTGGTAACTTAGGGTAAGAAAGATTAAGCAACCGTAACACAAGAGAGTTTTACTATTGTTAATTGGATGTGATCTCGATTAATTGTCTGGACGCCACCACTTGGCACACAAAAAAGTGGTCTTGTCAAATATGTTTTTTAAGATTAGACTCTTCGATGCAATATAGACATTCAGTCTTTATTTTAACAAGAGCTCCTCCTCCGTGCCCCATGCCTTGTGCGACCCTGTGGCTCAATTGTGTCTTTATAACAGATTCATATCTCTTTAACCTTTTAAATGTAAAATAATGCTACATCAAACTGAAAAGCTCGTTAAAAATATATGTGACAATTAATATGTGGGGCTGATCCTTGTAATACGATGAAATAAACTTAATAATGTTAAAACATATTGTCAGGAAATAAAGGTACGTCTTACGAGATTATAAACTTCAGTGAAAAGAGGAATCCTTTTTATTGCAAGAGGTTTATCCTGAATCATGTGGAAATCTGTTTTTAGTTTTTGACATAACCAAATCAATGACCAATGTTTTAGACTCATTTATTAACAATATTGTTGTTGTATCTTTGTCACGATCGCAAGTCATTCGTTCTGCAAGTCATTCGTTCTGTCAACCTTCAACCTTCACATCTAGAATTAGTTCATTTGACAGTACAATTTTTTAGAAGATAATTTAAGTGATTTTATCTCCCTCGTTAGGTTGGCAAATTTGACAACATGCCAGTATTCACAAAAATAGCAGGCGTCAGTCCAAAGAAAAATAATTTTTCGCAGAACATATTCTTGCCTCGTAAAAAACTTCATACCTTATGGGGTAGAATTTTGAAATGTGGACCATAGTTCACTGATATAGCTTCACTGAAAAATAATTTATATTCAGGTGTAGCTGATTACCACTACAACATGCATTTATCTTTCTCACAAGACACATTATTCGATGCAGGCTAGGGGCTGTACCTTGATTTTCACAGGGTTGAAGTGGAGGGTTCATAGAATAGAAGAAGTTGGTAATCCATTATCAGTTTCAGCAAAGCATCCTGCAGAAATGTGTATGGACCATCGCCCCTTGCTCAAGCCACACTTGGCCATCCCCAACCTCACTCCCAACACCTGCAGGTGGGCACTTTCGTTTTTTTTCAATATTCACTGCTTATGAAAGGGGGCTACGAATTCCCCTTCTTGTTGCCAGTAACTGAAAAACAGCGAGTATGTTAACGGTCAAAGGTATCTAGCTTCCTATACAAATGATTTGTAATCGAAGAGAGTACGAGATCGTTGTTATATTTAGATGCTTCAATCAGAGAGTCGGTTTGCCATAAGCAATGGAATCAATTATATTCAGATTAAAGTTTAGAATCAGACAAAGAATATCTTATCTTAAAAGAGATTCAAAATAGATTATCTTAAATGTTCTTGTGTTCAGTTAAATGTTTATCAAAACCGTTATGTGGTAGAGGACATTAAAACGGGAGTAATATCGTGTTGGGGCCTCTGTTGTGCGCATGTAAATCTGTCATATTGATTTTTGGACCCGTTGTCTGTGGCTTCTCTAATCTTTCTTAGCCTCGTGTGCTCACTGTGTGATGCGATAGCGATTTTAATTGGCACCTATTCTCAGTTGCTTTCCTACTTTTCTAGATGTTTGGATTTTGTTCTTTGAGCTGATGAAAAAATTCGTAGCGATAAGAAAGGAGACAAGATGTGTTCATGCCCAGAAATGGCATTTGGCACAGACGGTTTTCTTGTATTCCTCGGCGTTCAAAAGGAGAAAATGGGTTTATTGATGTCTTTTCGCATAATAAGAGAGAAAATGAATCGATTTTGCTTGACGTTTTGAATTCTAAGCTCTCTCTTTCCTTGACGTTTTGAATTCTATTTTAATTTAACAACTGCATAAAATCCTTCAAAAAATTCATTAGTGCGCTTTGAACGTACACCTATTCCTATTCTGTGATCCTGTAAGCACCACTAGTTACCAGGGACCTTGCTGTTCACGAAGGCTATTTATCCAACCCTGAATGATCAGGATAAATGTATCTAGCAAAGCAGTTCCTGGATCTGTGGTCCACCGAGCCGAATCATTAAGAATTGCTGACGCGAATGCAATTGCAGACTTCCTAACGTAACTTGGAATTTATCACCCGAGTAGAAAGATACTTCAGAAGGTAAAGCTTGTTGGATCTGCTTCTTTGGATCATAAAAGAGAATCATTCAAAGAGACATGATATTCATAGTAAATATAGTACATTCTATTTCAACATTACATGTTTAAAGCAAGGAACCCTTTGTCGAGACAGTTCTTTGTGTG